TATGGTGGCAAAAAACTCACTAGAGGACAGAAGAATGTGCCCAAAACAAAAAGAGCACACAGGAAGGCACTGAATGGAGGCCAAGTTCAGGATGCAAAGAAAGCGTGTATAGCGCCCCAAATACCTGATTTGCCTTCCCATACCAAACATTACCTGCCTTGTGCATGCACATGTATGCACTTTCGGAGAGGGGACTTCAGCATCAGACTCAGGCATATAAAAATGCACCAAACCAAGTGGAAGGTCATCCTCAATGCCAAGGGAACTGGCCAAGATGATGATGATTCAATGAGGTAACAACCTTCCACAGACAAATCAAGAATACGTCCATACTTTCTAACTCAGAAAATGCAGAAGTCATTAATACTGCAAAGGTAGTCATTGATGATCAACCGTGTTTAAAAACAATTTATAGAATGAGAAAAAGGAGAACCTCAGGATTTGGTGAGCTACAGTTAGATTTTAAAAAGTTTTGATCTAGAACATCTGGACTATCAGAAAATCAAGCAATATTTTTTCCTAACATATCTAATTTAAGAAATAAAACCCAAGGACAGAAGACTACCTAGTGATTTGCTTGGAGCACTCGAGTACAAGTAACAACAATATTAATATGACAGAATACTAAAAAGTAGGCAACAGTCTGATCAAAGTAAAGGCAGATTCTTTTTATTCCCTTTAACACCATCTGGTGGTGTTTTCATATTGGCACTAGATTTGTGAAGCTCTGGAATCAAACACCCATTCTTCCTAAGGATGCTGGGGATGTGGGGAGATACCAAAAAAAGAGAACAGATTGACTTTTTTTCCCCCAAAAGGTGTCATTCCCAATTTGTATTTAATCTAGACTATGAAAATTTGATTTTGTTTACTGACAATAATCACGTGGGTACAACTTGCCAAGATCGGATATTATCCTATTTATGAAAAGATAATGTTCAGAGTTTGGAAATTAATATTAAAGACAGGCAGCTAGAATTGCAAATGATGAATTGGCCAAATCAATAAAAAGCTAACCTTGCAGCTAAGGCTAGGTTTAGCATCACATCCTAAAGACTGTCTCTCTGATAATTCAACAGCACTTCATTATGGCTTTGGATCACCAGTCAAGTTTAAACCTCAAAACCTTGAATATTACTATCTCATTCAAGCTAACACTGCAAGCGTGTATACTCGAGCTACAGTGAAGGGTTGCAGTGCCACATTGCCCAATTTCCTTTCAAATAAAAGCCTTCAAACAGCTAGATCATTCCAGCTTCTCTGCAAGGGCATCAGCACTGTCTGCCTTGCTTGTTTTAAGAATCCGTGTTTAACCTCACTTCCCCCCACCCCCCATCCCCTCACTCCCAAACAAAAAAAAAATCATGATCATGTGCAACTACGTGGCAGTTTCTACTTTATAAAAGCATACACCACAGAAGCCAATCATCCACAGCACAGAGGTTACTTGCAATCAGCTTTTTTGAGCAGCCGCATTATCCACATGTCTGTCACACTTCCAAAATAAGCTCGCTATTCCAAGCTGTATTACAGCAGTTACCAGAGAAAATACAAAGATGCCCTCAAAGACTCCCTTAAAAAATGTGCAATATGCCCACTGAAACATGGGAATTTCTGGCCTACAACTGCCCAAACTGGATGATAAGCATCCATGAATTTAGCAATCATTTTGAGTATCTCCATGACAGGACCTTGTGGAGGCTAAGCACATACTGTGGAAGACATGCACAAAAAACTGTGTATACCACCTACCTCTTCAAACACCACCTGCCCCCACTTGCAGATGCAGCTTTAGGCTACTTAGTTACCTCAGGACCCACAACTCCAGACTAGATAAAGGACAACTGCCAGCTCAAGGAACTGCTGAAAAGATGAGTCTCCACAGACACATTTTTCTAAAACAGCCATCAAATTCTTTTTTGAGTTTGCTTTGGACAATGCGTTACACAACTACTAACTCACTCGCAATAACAAATGTACCACACCTCCCTGAATTTCTTACCAGTCATTTTAAGTTTGCGTCCTCTGATTATCAAGGCTTCCTGCCAGTGGAAACACTTTTCTTCTTCCTATTTTGAATACCTATATTAAATCCCTCTTTAACCTTCTTTAAATTCCGCATGCTTTATCTTTTTGAAAAAAGCTTCAAATTGTTCTGCCATCTTCAAACATCTGTGTAAGTAAACCCTCAGGTTTCTGCGCTCTCTTTAAAATTGTACTATTTGGTATATATGCCTGTCATTCTACCAAATGCATCACTTCACATTCATCTACATTAAATTTAATTGGCTTTGTGTCTGTACTTTTTAACCAGTTTTTACATGTTCTCTTAAACTCTGCTACTATTCTTCTCGCTGTTTACTGTATTGCCATGTTGTCATCTGCAAACTTTAAAATTGTTTTGGTCAGTTATATAGATGAAGAACAGTGGACCTATCTACTGATCCATTGGAGACACTGCTATACATTTCCCCTAATGTCTGAAAAAATATTTTTCACCATGCAACTCCTCTGCTTTCTGTCTCGTCACCAACTTCACATATAGGCACTGCCCCCGAATCTCTTGTTCCACAACTTTGTTAATACATCTACTGCACAGACCTTTATAAACACTTTAAAGGCTAAATGCTTAGATATATTATCTTCTAACAACCTCTTTCTGCTATTTCTGGCAAATTGTCAAATCAAGTTTGCTGCATATTATTTGTTGTTAAGAAATTAACAGTGGTCGTCACTTGTTTACTCAACTTTTTACAAACAAAAATTGTGTCCTGGAATACAGTCTCTGGAAGATTTTCCATCACTGAAGTCAGACCAGAACAAACAGGAGCAAGAATGTGCTATTCAGCCCATCAGGCCTGTTCTGTCATTCAATAAGATTATGGCTGATCTGATTGTAGCCCCAACTCCCCCGTGCTCCTAGCCCTCAATATATCCCTGTACATCAAAAATTATCTCTGAAATTATTCCAATGCTGAATTAACATCTCTGCCTCCACTGAAATTCTCTTTCCCCAGACAGCAAAGTTAAACAATCCCCTGGGTGAATAAAGTCTTCAGGTTAGTCTTAAATGGGACACTCATTTTTAAACTGTGCTCTCTTACTCCAGATTTTCTCACAACTGTCTAATTTGCAGTTACCAGGTTTATTCCTTTCCCTCTTTGTGAAGTGGAACATTTTCAACCTTGCAGCCCTTCAGCATCACCCCCACACCCAAGGAGAAGGAATACTACAGCCAGAGATTTCCTTACTTTCACCACTGATTCCCTCAGCAACCTAGAATTGAAGTCAATCATAATTACTATTTCACTATTATTAGTGAATTTTAACGCATACTTTCAGATTTTCTCCACCACTTTCCATCTGTTTGGTGATTTAGAGTATACATACAGCAACATAAACAGCTCCTCCTCTTGCACAAGAGGAGCTGTTTATGCTCCTCTTTTCTATACTTTGACTCTAAAGGGCATCATCCCATTCCAACTGCTTAACAGTATATTTGACAAATGTTGTCACCACCACCACACATCGTCCTATGCACTCCCACCGACCCTCCTTTAATTTTCTCCCATGCACATCTCCGCCCCCACTCCCAATCTCTCCTGAATACATTAAAGCCAGGAACATTAAGCTTCCCTTCCTGTCCTTGCTCGAGCCAAGACTGTCACTCTCACTATATCATAATACTATGTGGCAACCTGGCCTTGCGAGTTTTCTGCAGATAAGACACACAACCATCACATCATGAAAGAAGGTGAAACTGCTTTTAGATCAGATTGGGTGCCTTTATTAAATGGTCATAAATTCAAGATAGAATTTTTTTTGAGGGGTTGGGCGAGTCTTAAATTCTGCTATGAGCTCCAACATGCTCACCTGTCTTTACAGGTTCCACTACTTAGAGTCAGTGGCCTCTTCCAATTCTGCTCAGTATACTGACTAATGAAGCAGTGATATTTGTGCCACACTACATACTTCTTGCACTCAAAATTTGTACATTTCCTGCCTCCAAGTAGTCTGACTTGGAATGTCTTTCTTTTAAGAGTCAGGATCCACCAAAACAGATAATAATTTTGGTTCTATTTTCCAATCTTAACTCTGTTCTATATGTTGGCTTCTAAGTGTTGCAATTTAAATCATTGCTTAACACCAAGCATTACTGATACTGAAACTCCTACTTCCTTTACATTCATTGAAGTCAAATACACTACCAATATTGTGGCCAAGCACTTTCCATACTAAGATGGACACAGACAGTTTATTCTGCCTTGTACAACTTTTTTTTGTCATACATGTCTACAATAACCAGTGAATGCCCAGACTTAATGGATGCAGAATTTCTAGGAGAAAGGTAAGAATGTTAACATTTCCAAATTTATTTTATAGCTATCTATCACTCTCCACTAATGTTTTCAGAAATGAAAGCTGATGGGGATATACGATAATTTGATTTGTGGCTAAGAGAAGACAGCTGACCAGATGATTGTAGAATACCTGGAAGATGATAGGATGACTGGTTTTCCAAAAATGCTGGACCTCGGCAATCTTCTTAATATTCAGAATGGGGTACATTACAGCCAGGAACTCAGAGGTTGGAAGAAGCAGTTTGTGAATTCCAGCATCAAGTTTTCATCAGAATGGTTCAAACAGTGGATCTGGTCTGCATTAAGGACATGGGCATGCCGTTTTTGCTTTTAAGTGCCAGGGGCTTGGATGCATAGTATTTTATGTTTTATTTCAGACATCCGACATTTGTAGTGTTTTATGACCTCCTTCCACTTAAAGGCTTCAACTTGGAGAGTGTTTGTTTTCTTTTTGCACTTATGCTTTTTCAACTTCAGCTTGTTACATTTTGTTCAACCATCAATGTTGGCTTGATGGAAATACTCTTAAAAGGCAGTGGATTGTGGATTCAAATCCCACTTCAGAAATTAGGTAACATGTTCTAAGCTGACACTTCAGTGCAGTACTCATGGAATGCTGCACTACACTAGCATGATAGACTGCTAAACATGCAGTGTCAGCCAAGCCATTAAACCAGCCTTCTGGAGTAGACACAAAAGACCACATAAGACAACAGAATAATGGTCAGGGTACAAGGACATAATTATCTCTCAACCATTCTCAATAAAATTTTATGTGCTCAGTTACCTCATTGCTTCGAGTACTTAGTGTGAAATTGTCTGAGGTGCTTCCTTATACTTCAACAATAACTAAAATTCCTGAGTACTTTGGAAGTTGGATGGTCACAAAATGGGAATATAAACACAACATTTTTTCACTGTCTTGAGAAAATCTATCACTAATTTTCAACTCACCAACGTTTCAAAGAACGCCTTTTCTGCCAACTTAAGCTACCATTTCGTCTTTGACAGATATCAACATATAATTTGTGACTTTTACCTTGCTGTGCTCTCCACTACATCTATTCATTGTAGCCAAACGTACTTTAGGTACAGCAGTTAACAGCGCTGTCTCAGTACCAGAGACACAGGTTTGATTCCACCCTCGGGTGACTGTGCAAACTCCATACAGACATTCTCCCTGTGTCTGCATGGGTTTCCTCTGGGTGCTCCAGTTTCCTCCCACAGTGATGAGCAGGTTAGGTGTATTGGCCATGCCAATTTGCCCAGTGTCCATGGATGTGCAGACTAGGTGGATTAGCCGTGGGAAATGCAGGGTTACAGGAATAGGGTAGAGGGGTGGGTCTGGGCGGGATGCTCTTTAAAAAGGTCGGTGTGGACTCGACGGGCCACATGGCTTGCTTCCACACTGTAGGGATTCTATGACCTGTTTTACTTTGTCCTGATAATGGGCCTATATGTGAAATATTAATAAAAATGTTTTAAGCCGAGGCTATCCATATTAGGTTTAAAACAAAGATTACACTGTTAGACAAAGTAACGTATGAAAACAGAGATAGGAAAAGCCTACATAATCTATCTGGTTTATTTCATCCAGGCTCGGTATAGCCCATAAGTACCATTACCTCAACTACCATCCTCTAGGCACAATCTGAGAAAATGCAAAAAAAAAACAGTGACCAATGCAGGCAACCATCTCAGTGCATCTCCTCACTGTCTCCGATGACAAACAAATTCCAAGAGACTGCTGCATGGGATGTATAATCAATAACTCAACTCTCTTGCATAATAGGAGATGTTCTCTACGCTACAGTGACCGTTGCATGTTGTGTGTACTGTTTGAGACAATTACATATTTAACCTAAATTACATTTATTGAAGGTTTGTACCCGAGATTGGCACCTTCAATAAGTTAATGCTCACATTGCTAAATGTGTCAGATTTATACAGATTGCTTCAATGATATTATTTATTATTATTTAAGATTGTAGACTGGTGAAATTGCTTGAAGACTAAGCACTCACCTTCTTTGCTTTCCTCTCCTTTGCTCTCGTGCTGCTTTTTCTTTTTTCTGGTATCATATACTGGTCGTTTCCTTGGAATTGAATCTTTGGATGGCACATCAACACCTTTGAAACCAAAGTGAAGAAATGCGTTTAGGTCAATTTTTTTTCTTGCACCATTCACCACCATCAACTGTTTTTCCATAATCTACAGAATTCTGCACCCTTCTTTACTTCTTAAAAAAAAGCAACACTTTTTTGTCACAAATCAGGAAAACAAGATTCATGAATTACAATAGCTAATATGTCAAAATGAAAAAGTACGGAGGAACTCAAGAGGTCTGACAACACCACTGGTGAAAGAGAGTGTGTTAACATTTCGAGTCCAGTATGACTTCTTCAGAATTGAAAGAGTTTGGAATTTTTTTTAATGGACATTTGACAGAAGCAGTGAGACAATGGGAACAGGTAGCATGGAGGTCCAGTGCAAAAGATAAGGGGGTTGTTAAATGGTGGTGAAAGAAAATTAAACAGTTACTTCCATTTTTGATAGACCACCTTGCTCTCATGCTATCATGCTAATATTGTGTGCTGTAACGTTTCAAATAGGCACAATGCAAGCTTGAGGAACACCACTTCATTTTCCACTTAGGCATTATACAGCCTCTAGGACTCAATATTGAATTCAACAATTTCGCAGCTTTCCCACATGATGTCTATTCTCCCTTTTCATTACATTCTATTAATCAAGTGTATTGTGTGCACGCCATTCAAAACACTGAACCGCATCAGTGGCACAGGCACAGAAAGGTATACTCTTCTACTAAGTAGTCAAAAGACTCCTGTGGTTTTAGCTGCATTAGCTAGGAGGTATACACAGTGCCACAGTAAATACACCATTTATCTTAATACTATTAAATATTTTTGAACAGATAAATATTCCAACTTCGTTTATACCTTGAGCACGAAGAAGTTCAAGTGTAGCCTCAGCTCTTGCTTTGGCATCCCTCTGGGATTTCGTCAACAATTTGCCCTCCTTCTTCAAGCGTTCTTTTCTTTCTTTTTCTTTTTGTTTCTTTTTCTCTTTACGTTCCTGTTCTAGTTTCTCCTGCAAAGTTAAATATATTGCAGATTATTAAACACAACCACTAGTAAGTTGTCATGCTCGATTCAATACATCTTAAAACACATAACCCTCAAGATACATTAATGTCACTTCATTGTCAGTTTATAAAAGTTACTTCAAATTGTCTACTTCTTACAGCTATGTATTTTCTGGCCCATCTTTTTCAGCTTCACAAATTTTCAAACAAACCATTCAAAATTTAGCCCAAGTTCATCACACCTAGCAATGGAATGAATCAAAAAGATTTTGCAGTGCTGACGCCAGTTTTGGCTCTAGGTTTTTGACAAGTCACATTTTAATCTCACATGTAGCCACGGAGGAAGTTCTGAAAGAATCAACTAAGACAAATTTTACAGTTATATGCAAAGTTATATGCTCAGAAGCTTTACTGGCTAATCAAGGAGTGCAAGCCATATTTTCACTTTCTTCATTCAGAAATGCTTCAGAGAAAATAAATTTTCACTGTCCAAAATATGTTTCAAAGTTTCAATTGGTACATGTCTGCTGATGCAAAGATTTTAATGGATGGAATTTTCTATTTGTCCTGTTTTATTATAGCTTTCATGTTTTTTCTGTGTCGAGATACATTAGTTTAAATAACTTCCCTGTCTTTCTTAGATAATCACATGCTTGGTAATTCAAGTATTAAAAATTTAGTAACCAGGATGCATCTGCAGCATCATGCCTTCAAAAGGCAAAGTTTCAGAAATATCACACCTTGACACATATCTTATGAGAAAGCCCACTGCAAATTACCCAAATATGCAATTTTTTTCAATAAAAGCACAAGGTTTTAAGGAACCAGAAACCACTTGATTTTACGATAACATCAACAGCAAAAGTTAGTGCAACTATTTTTCAAAAGGTGACAACAATACCTTGGCTCGGACTATGTTGTTACATACAGAAACTCAAAATTTCTTTACAGAGATCACAGTTGAAGTTGCTGCAGATTGCAATCAAATAGAAATTACTGAACTGTCAATACCTTGTCCTATTAGACTAATTATTTCACTGCAAAAATCTTGGAAAAAATTACACCTCATTCAATGAAATGCAGTTTCTGTTATGAACAGCAAATAGTGTCAAAATTGTTCATGGAGAATCCAGCAGGTACTAATAATCAAATTTCATACTCGAGAATTGCCAAATTTCTCCACTGGAATAAAAAGACCTGTGAGGGCGTGGGGGTCAGCAGTGAATCAGCCTTCCATTTAACAGTTACACCAGAGGTACAGGGGATCTTTAATTCTCTAATGTTTACAATGTAACTATTAATGCTCAAGTAAATCCAGAGGGTTCAAGACAAAGGGGATTTATCCAATAGAATTTTCAGTTTCCCAGCTAAATCTGTAAGTAAGCTGCATCAGGATTTCTGCATGGTTCCGATATGCAGCTCTTCAGTGCAGAAACAACTAGCTAGCCATCAGAATTTCTGCGTCAATGTTTTCAGAAAACGAGTACACGATTGCACAAAATATGACAACACAAGAGTCAAGGTAAATTGTCCAAAATGACAGACGAGTTGAATAAATATTTTGTATCAGTCTTCACAGTGTAGGGCACTAATTGTATTCTGAACATTAAATAATCTGGGGTGCGGATACAGTGGGAAACGTATGCACTATCAAGTTTCTGGGTGACAAAAGATAGGTGAGAACACAAGTAATGAGGATGACCTAAAGAGTCTGCAGACAGGTTAAGCGAGAAGGCTAAAGACTTGGCAGATGGAATACAATGTGAAAAAACACGACATTTTGCACTTGGCAGGAAGAATTGAACTTATTATTTAAATGGAGAATGCCGCCAGAAAATTGCAGTACAGAGGAATTTGGGGGTCCCAGTGAACAAATCACACAAAGCTAGTAGAGATAGTAGGAACTGCCGATGCTGGAGTCTGAGATAACAAGGCGTAGAGCTGGATGAACACAACAGGCCAGGCAGCATCAGAGGAGCAGGAGAGCTGACGTTTCGGGTCTGGACCCTTCTTCAGAAATGGGGGAGGGGAAAGGGGCTCTGAAATAAAGAGAGAGAGGGGGAGGCGATGATGGAAGGTGGATAGAGGAGCAGGTAGGTGGAGAGAAGACGGACAGGTCA